TGTCCTGAAGCTCCCAGAGCCGTGGAGGAAGGTTGCTGAAGTATTCGTGGTTCAGCGCTGCCTGTGCTGACAGACGGTTCTTTGGGAAGCACTGGAGGAACCTGGAGGCCAACTCCTCAGCGTGGTCTACGTAGCCCAACCTGATAGAGGAAACCATGAGGAGATATCACAGAAGCACACAAACACAATGTTGTTCACATGTAAGACCAGTGGGCTGAAAACCAGGAAACGACAGCAGACATGTTTATGTCATCATGTGATCACAAACAACCTGTAAAGGTGTATTCATTCACACACCTCATACAGAAACTTTGAGCTGAATGATTAAAAACATTAAACCTCTTCAGACTATCAAACACTTCCAACGACCCAAAAGCTGTCTGAGAACAGCTCTACCACTTCCTGTGGTGAACATCTAGGGGATGACTTCATTAATAATGGAGCTCTGGCTGGATCCACACTCGCTCACAAACACAACTGGTGCTGCAGTCCGCATCTAGACCAGCTTCAACCGTGTCTGAAGGCTGATCGATATCTGCCAGCACACACCTTCTTCTCCCTGTCCTCTGAGCCGTCTCCTGTCATCGATTATTACCGAGTTGGTTTTGTTTTTATTCCCCAGAAGAGTTCTTCTTACAGATGCAGATAAAAACATTCTTCACAACCGCTCCTGTCAGCAGCCCTCCTGCAAGTCTTCTTTATGTTTCTTTGGTGGAAAACCACCCACCTACCTACCTACCTACCCACCCACCCACCTACCTACCTACCTACCTACCTACCCACCTACCTACCCACCTACCTACCTACCTACCTACCTACCTACCTACCCACCCACCTACCTACCTACCCACCTACCTACCCACCCACCCACCTACCTACCTACCCACCCACCCACCCACCTACCTACCTACCTACCTACCTACCTACCTACCCACCTACCTACCTACCCACCCACCCACCCACCTACCTACCTACCCACCCACCCACCCACCCACCTACCTACCTACCCACCCACCCACCTACCTACCCACCTACCTACCTACCCACCTACCTACCCACCCACCCACCTACCTACCTACCCACCCACCCACCTACCTACCTACCCACCCACCCACCTACCTACCTACCCACCCACCCACCCACCTACCTACCTACCCACCCCACCCACCTACCTACCTACCTACCCACCCACCTACCTACCTACCCACCCACCTACCTACCCACCCACCCACCTACCTACCTACCCACCTACCTACCTACCTACCTACCTACCTACCTACCCACCTACCCACCCACCTACCTTCCTACCCACCTACCTACCCACCCACCCACCTACCTACCTACCTGCCTACCTACCTACCCACCCACCCACCTACCTACCTACCTACCTACCTACCTACCCACCTACCCACCCACCCACCCACCTACCTACCTACCTACCTACCTACCCACCCACCCACCTACCTACCCACCCACCCACCTACCTACCTACCTACCTACCCACCCACCCACCTACCTACCTACCTACCTACCTACCTACCCACCTACCCACCCACCTACCTACCTACCCACCTACCTACCCACCCACCCACCTACCTACCTACCTACCTACCCACCCACCCACCTACCTACCCACCCACCCACCCACCTACCTACCTACCTACCTACCTACCTACCCACCTACCTACCTACCTAACCACCCACCCACCTACCTACCTACCTACCTACCCACCCACCAACCCACCTACCTACCCACCTACCCACCTACCTACCTACCTACCTACCCACCTACCTACCTACCTACCTACCTACCTACCTACCTAACCACCCACCCACCTACCTACCTACCTACCCACCTACCTACCTACCTACCTACCTACCTAACCACCCACCCACCCGCCTACCTACCTACCTACCTACCTACCTACCTACCTACCTACCCACCTACCTACCTACCTACCCACCTACCTACCTACCTAATGACCCACCCACCCGCCTACCTACCTACCTACCTACCTATCTACCCACCTACCTACCTGCCTACCTACCTACCCACCCACCTACCCACCCACCTACCCACCTACCCACCTACCTACCTACCTAATTACCTACCCACCCGCCTACCTACCTACCTACCTACCTACCTACCTACCTACCTACCCACCTACCTACCTACCTACCTACCTACCTACCTAATTACCTACCCACCTACCTACCTACCTACCTACCTACCTACCCACCTACCTACCTACCTACCCACCTACCTACCTACCTAACCACCCACCCACCCGCCTACCTACCTACCTACCTACCTACCTACCTACCTACCTACCTACCTACCTACCCACCTACCTACCTGCCTACCTACCTACCCACCCACCTACCCACCTACCCACCTACCCACCTACCTACCTACCTAATTACCTACCCACCCGCCTACCTACCTACCTACCCACCTACCTACCTACCTACCTAATTACCTACCCACCCACCTACCTAC